TTTGGTAAATCAGCATTTATTTAGTTATTTTGACTTGTTTATTTTATGTGTCAAAACTGGCCATCGATGTCACTCTTTCGAGATATGGTACCTGAAGCATACCCTCGTTCGTGCTCCAGGTTTGTGATTGGTAATCCTAGTTGAACTGGGTGTCTCAGCTCGAAGCCAGTATGTGCAGCTGCATGAACAGTGAACGGGGTGTTGTTTTAGTAAGAAACTCATTCTACTGATCTTGCACTTTAAGCAACTATTTAAAAACTGATGAGCTATCTGTCAGTAACTTAGGCCTGACCCAGTAGTGCTGTGCACTGTACCTGACTCCAGGCCAGTCATGTTCCTTTGCATAATTCATCATGACACAGGGGCCACGTGCACTGGCTGGCACATGGTCCCGTGCCATGCTGGCAAGAGTCCCCTGAAAAGTTGGTTTGCTCCTCCTTTTCCAAAACACGCAAAGAGATGCAAGACTTACATATATTCCAGTGTCCCTTCGAAAAATTTTATTTTTTATTTTTCCTAGAGTCATAGCATGGTGACTAGGCCTTGACCTCATAAGTCACTAAATTGACCACTGGACATGATAGTGTGTGTGCTGCATGTGTCTGGTATGGTTTGAGAAGAGAAAATCTGTTATTCATTTATACATTTTTTTTAAATACATTTTTATCCTTTGGGGCTTTGGTTGTTTGTTCATCTAGCTCTAGTGGATGATGCTGTTCCACAAATAAATCAGCCCATCACTGGCAGTAACCTACATGAGGACAGTAAAAGCTACAATGTTGACAATCTGTGGTGTGAGAGAAATCTAGTACTTTAGGGGTTAAGTTGTGAAAGTTAATGTAATAACTGCTAGCACCATCTGCTGGCCTACTTCCTTACAAATAGAGAGAGAGAGAAAGAGCGAGAGAGAGAGAGAAAAACGAGTCTGGGTTGTAACGACATCTCTAATATTCATGCTGATGCATTTTGCTGCTTTGTGCTTTCATTTTACACTGCTCTGCCTGACAGAGTCTCGAGCTCGCCATACTCGGCCCAGTCAGGGAGAGTGGAGGACAGCAAGGTAGAACGAGGAAGAAGACAAGTGAGGAAAAGGAGGAAGAAACAAGCAGCCAAGCAGCAAGCAAGCTAACACAAAAGCCTTTTTTGTGTTTAAAAAAAGAAAGGAGTACAGTAACCTACCTTATCCTGCCTGGCGAAGAAGACAAGGAGAGACACAAATAGGTAAACAGCAAAGTGCAGAGAGCAAGAGCGACCAAGAAATAATATTGAAAAGGCTTTGAAAGTCATAGAGAGCGCACACGAAAGGCAGGCGGAAAGAGGAATCAATGAGAGGGGAGGAGAGAGGAGGCACGGGAAGGTAACTCTGACACACACTCGCAGAGAGAGAGCGAGGGAGACTTGGGTGAAGCTGGACGACAGCGAAGCAGCACGCAGCAGCAGAATGAGAGCTTCCTGGACTGCCACGCACCTCCTCTACCACCCACAGCGCTGCTCCCTCATCACCCTGTGAAGAGACAAACGAGGGTGAGAGAGAGAGAGAGGGAGAGAGAGCTCCCATGCACTTCTCTTGAGCCCTGCCTGCTGGGGGAGGAGGCGACGAAAGACTCCAGCACTCTTACACTGCCTGAGGAGAAGAGCTGACCGGGGAGGAGGAGGGGAGGCAAACAAGGAGAGAGGGTGGGGAGGGGGGGGAGCCACAGCTCAAAGAAGAGGGAGAGAAAACGACTGTTGAAAGGGCAAGAGT